ATCCAGAGACATTGACGCATGTAACAGACGATCATATTTCAGAGGAATGAGGGAAGGGGGCGTGGAGGGTGGGGAGAGATTAACCAAAGAAGTTATATGCATAACCCATGGACACAATTAATAACGGGGTGAAGGCCTGGGAAGGGGGTGGGAGGGAAGTGGAGGGGATCAATTGGGGGGAAAAATGGGATACCTGTAATACTCTCAACAATAAAGATTAAAAAAAAAAAGAGTAACAAGCATTTAAGGTGTCTAAGTGATCTGCTTCCACGTATAAGAGGAAATACGCTCTAAGTTGGTAAGTATGTGGGAAAGGAGTGTAGGCGTTTTCTGCAGAAGGCTCTTACCTTAGACATGTTATTTGTGCAAATCCACTGTACAAACGTGCCACAGATCAGACAAAACGTTAGCAGATTAGGACTTGTAAATGGGGGCTATCGCGGATGGTCGCACTGAGTACCTTCATCGTGGTTTACAGGCAAGTGGATGTGCTGCATTTACCGCTCATGTGGTTGGTATATGTGGGTGTTTTTCCCCCTAATCAACAGTATCAGAACTATCACTTTTACAAGTACATACTTGATAATATGATGTATATACCAAAGATACTGTATAACCTCAGAATCAGCAAGTTTACAGGTATTTCAAAATAAGGAAAATTTGCTAGTTTATAATATAATGGAGTAACAGTTTTTCCATGGGGTCTTTTGATTCTTATGTATCACATGATTACTAGCTTCCATTTTTACGAGCATGGTTTATAAATCCTTTGTATTTGATTTTCCTCGTGAAGGCAGTTTAGCCAGACACATGCTGTATTTCCAGTACTTGTCTGTTGATTACAGTGTACTCAAGTTTTATATAGTCTGTTCCAATTGTCCTCAGGATCATTTACTGCACCTCAAAAGACCTATGTTACGGCCAGGTTGTAGACGTGAGTTCTGCCTGCAGTAGCTAGCTCTGCTGGACTATTAGGAAACGTGTATCTGTAAAGCGATTCAGATTGTCAGTGCAGAGGCACCTTCATGTAGACAGCTGCTAAGTATCATCAACCAGGCTTTATTACGGTATGACAGGAGGGGTTTTGTGGTTAAGCACTTCCTTGAATGTCTCACGGTTGTATTTAGATGTAATTTTCTTTATCTTTGAAAGAAACAAACCCCCTTTCACTGAACAATGGCAAATAGTTAACTAATAGGTACATATTATAAGCATATACAAAATGTAGGTCTATTTGATGATGCGTCATTCAAATAAAATGTATCCTGCAAATCTAACGAGATATGCCATCTCTCAAAATTATAACCCCCGAGAACTGCAATCCCCACACTACACAGCCCATTAAAGATTATTTACTGTATGAAACAAAAAGGGAACCACTGCAACTTAATGAAAAAAATTTTATTTTTTAAAAATGTTTTCAAATCTGAATCTAACGTGTATTGGCTCATGTATTTCAATAATTACACGAATGACTTAAATGGAGAAAGGATTCAGAGTACTCTAGCAAGGTAAAGAATAAAAATCTCTCTTTTCCCCTAGCTTCTAGTTTGACAAGAGGGAACCCCTAACAATCCTGTTCCGAAAAAAAACGGCAATACTGTGCTTCGAAAAATATCGGGTTGCATATCATTCTTAATACATCACATAATGCTGCCGCCCGTAAGACTCCTAGCAGGAGCTACAGGTTCCAACCTGGCACTTCAGGTAAAGAAGACTTTGATGACCAAACAATGCTTTAAGTTAAAAGTAAAAATATATCTTATGAAATTTCTTGAAGCAGATTGTCAGGTTAAAATATTTAGCTTTAAAACAAAACAAAAAAACTGCCATCCTATTGTTCAAATAATTGCTCTCAAATGATCTATAAAATGGACTGAGCTGATACTGGTTCGTCCATTAACTCATTTAAAACTGTACTTTTGGCAAGGATGAGTAATTACAAGGATGTTATTACTCCATTATCCTATGGCCTTCTAATCTGTTTTGTGATAAATTTTTGTCTAACTCAGATTTTGAACAGTTTAACACCATTTCCTCCTGGATTAAATACCAGTTCCTTAGCTGTGTAGTTTTAAAAGCTAATCTGCTTTAAACTCTGAAAATCAGTACCAAAAAAATGTACACCGCTTATTCTAATCACTAACATTTACAAAACTTACACTCCAACAAATTAAGAGTAAATAAATTTTTTTTTTTTAAATAGTGCATACAAGGCACAAGAGCTGCTCAGTATATTTACTGAAACCCAACATTTTGGCATCAACAAACACACACTTGAGTTTATCTTGAAACTCAATTTCCAAACAGCACGCCATTGAGTTATGCTGAACTAAATTTCCCAAAGTATATAATTTTGGATAATTTGCATCATTTAATCTTAATAGATGAGGAACTATATCGTTTAACTGTCATACTTTTGATGAGAGAACACAGAAATAATATAGACATAAATGCAGGATTCATCTATTGACCCATCAGGAGTTCTTAACAGAAATTCGGTACTTTTGCTACGTTCAAAGAAAAAAACACAAAAAAACACACAACGTAAGCCCTGGCCAATGCGGCTCGGCTGAGCGTCCTCCCAGGCACCAAAGGTCGCCAGTTCAATTCCGTCAGGGCACGTGCCCGGGTTTCGGGCTCAGTCCCCAGCAGGGGGCGTGCAGGAGGCAGCTGATGGATGTTTCCCTCTCCTGTCCTCTCTCTGTCTAAAATCAATAAAAAAATTTAAAAAAAATTTTAAGCCAAACTGGCTAAAGAATATCATAAAAAAAAAACCCAATTTTCATAATTCTTACAGATTTTCCCCCAATTTAAGAAGAAGAGATGAAAATATATTTCAGATGTAATACAAATGTATTCATTCTGACAAAAATATTCTAGCCAATTGCTTATCAGTGAGCTCAGCATCAGTGATCATAGCCATTGTCTAGCAGGGAACAAAAGCTAGAATTAGATTAAATTCTAGCAAGAGTGGATGTGGCCTTCAACTGTAGGTCATTTGGAAGTTGTAATGAAGTCACTCAGTCTGAAGCTGGATTCACATCAGAAGGAAAGAACAGAAGTCTGACCGGCTACCTCCACGTTTTCATGGGTAACAGGTTTTACGAATAAATCTTATCATTATAATATGACTGGAAACCTTTTGTATCTCAGTATGTTCATCTTAATTTTCTGGATGAGAATCGTGATAAATTGTGCTACTGAATTATCTGGGTGAAAACTGGCCCATGAATTTACCCAAAGTTTTTATAATAGAAGATATTTTTGCCCTTGATTCATAAACCATAATTATTTTTAATATTTCACAGGAATTTGTTTTAGTTGAAACAATCTGTATCCTGAATTTAAAATGTGATGTTTTAAGCAACAGCTTGGAGAGAACTAATCAGTTCATATTCTGCAAATCCAGCCACATGGAAATGGGAACGTCAGGCCAGTGGTGCCGTCCTGCGGGAAGCCTGTTCCATCCATCTACAGCATTGATACCTTGAAATGAAACAGAAAACAGAAAACTACTGTGTTAAGTATTTAAAAAACACACCTAACCAACTCATTCATTCAACAAACAACTCACTGTTTGATGCAACAACATCCCTTGTTCAAAATAAAACGTTTTCTATACTAGAAGGCTCAGTGGCTCTTGAATACTGACCCCTACATCTAGACCAGAGGATCATGTCACGATGCAGAAGATGCAGATTCTGATGCGGTGGGACTAGAGCAAGGCCCAGGATTCTGCATTTCTATTAATAAAGCTCAGGCGAGGGCAATGATATTGGTTTGGGACCCCAATTTGAGTGGCAGGGTTCTTCTATGTTCTACATTTGTCTGAGGCTACTAAGCATTTAGGAGTGAGAACTGAGTTCGATGGATGACTTAGGGAAATAAGTTTGAAATTTCAGGTGCATAGAAGCACAGCATTTTTTGTTTATAATTTATAAGGAAGGCTGGATAGGCTAAATTTAATCTACACTCTAGCATTAGTCTAGGTCTAGGCACATTCTAACTATCTGGGACATATGCTAAGAAATAGTTTATTTATTAAAAGGCCACAGATCATTTACTAATTAGTTCAAAAAGAGAACATAACATAAAGGAATTCAGCAATATGATTAAATTGAGCATATGATCAATATAAATGCACTGAATGAAATGCAAGTCTGAGATGTAAAGCAGACAAACTAAAAAACTTTTTAAACTGGAAAAACTGTAACTACATTAAGATAATTCAATTTTTAAAAAATATTTTAATGTTACTGGTTATATCAATAGAATGAAAAACATTATATCAGAAAACTCACTTTTTTTTATTAATGTCAATGCAGCTGATTCATGCTGCCATTTTGTTATTATGACCATGAATGTCATATTCAAATGTAGTAAAATCAGGTTTTTGTGAGATTTTTAATTTTAACAGTTATTTTATCACTTATTTTCTAAATGCTCATTTATAACCTACTCTTGTGTCTGGTACTGGGCAGAGTGCTGAGAACAAGGTTGACCAAACACAACTCCAGTCTTGTGCCGAAACACTGGGACGTCCACAGGACACGATGTTACTATGTAAACTTGTAAACTATTTAACATGTGACCTCACAAGCAATGGTGATCATCACTAATAATTCAAAATACGCAAAAAAAAAAAAAAAAAAAAAATCCTGTGAAACTACGTGCTTTACAGATCTATGTTCTGTACAGTATTTATTTGTGGTATTGGTTAGTGATTCACATTTGTTTATTCATAGTTACATTTTAAGAATTATTTCCAGAAGTTTAATATTGTTTCTTTGCTATTTAACCATATAAGAAGATTAAGTTTTTGCCCCCTAAGCACAGTTAGGATTAATCTGATCCACTCTACCATCTTACGCAGTCGTCCGGAACCAGAATCAACGGGCAAATGGCCAGATCAGCATTTTGCTGTTATTAAAGAGCTACTCATTAAAACCAAACAAAACAAATTTTAAAAGATTTAAAAAATAACAGCACAGATTTTGAGGATTAAAATGGGTTAAAAAAACAAACACACAAACTAAAAAACAAAAATAACTCATATCCATGATGTATGTTGACACAAATGATTTTGTTTTAGATGCTACTGTCTCGCTTCTTAGACTTTACGATTCTAGAGTGAAGTTTTACAGAGTTGTCTTGATAATTTTAATTTCAAGTCTTTACATTTGTGTTTATAATTGTACAGATAGTTGTTTGTTGTTTTGTCTACATGTGTATGGCTTTGTTCCAAAGGGGCTTTCTCATATCTTTCTACTGACTGCAGGCCTATAAATAGGTTATGTAGTAAAGAAACTGATTTTGAAGGACAGGTTTTTAAAAATTATGGTTTAAAGAAAGTGATCTGGGATGCCTGTTATTTTAAGAATGACATATGCCAAGCGTCCTACTGTCACCAAAAATAGGGATAAAAGGTTTATGCTAACATATGATTATGATGTACTCAGGCCTGGGGAGATTCTGCGAATGGGTGATCCACGGCATGACCACTATAGATCCGAAGGGCTAGAAAACTTTTTTTAAAAACTGTACAATCCTATGAAATGATAAGACAGTTAATGTGTACACTTTAATATTTTAGGATCCCTCCTTGCTATTTAATGTATTACTCTAAAAATGAATTTTGTGCATCAACTTTTTATTTTTATCAAGTTGACCTACATACTAGCTAGTCCTGAAGCTAGGTCCGTGTCAGAGGTCTCCGGCACGACTGATGCAGTCCCAAGGTCAGCGAAGGCATCTTTTCATTCGCATTGCTCAAAAATAAGTGATAATGTTTATGGAAACAAGGTGCCCTAAGAGAACCAGAAAAGTGTTAAAAATATAAAACGTAACAATAAAGGAAAAACTCAACTTACTTTCCTAAGACAGGAATTGACTCTGTTTGAAGAGCTAGGTCTCATTCTCCATGGTGAGCGCAGGGTTGCTCATGCCTTCAAGAAAGAACATTCGTGAGTCCTGTGGCCGCTGGGCACAGCGGCAGAGGCCTGGCGCCCCGCCCCGGCTTCCCCGCGCCCCCCCAGGTGCCGTGCAGTGCGCAGTCCGCTGTTCGTCAGCAAGATGGTCATGTAAACGCACACATGGCAAGCAGCGTCGGCCACAGGCACTGTCACAAAAAAAGCACTTGAAAACGGGGCCACACCCCTGGGGAACCAAAGACGCCCTGGAGCCGGCTCCTGTCGCCTAGTAACCGACCGAGCCCGGCGCCTCGCCCTTCTCAGGGCTCCTTTGACACCACCCTTCACACTTCACTCCTCGCGCCTGTCACCCTAATGGGGAAATCTGTCCAGATGCCAAATAATGACCAGCCCGTTAGAAACCAGGGAGCGTTCCCGCGCTCAGGCCACTGTGGGGTGGGACGCGGGCCCCCTGAGAGCAGAGCCCTGTGTCGCCAGCCCCCCAAGCACGACCGCTCCTCTGCCTCTAAGGAAGCTGGGCGGACAGGTGTCACCGGCTTTGTCCAGGTCCGGCCGCGCCCTCCCACACGGGTCTGCAGGCGGGGGGCACGTGGTGATGCTCCGGTGGCCGGGGGGCGGCGGGCTCACAGTCACTGCCACGGGGACACAGCGACTCACAGCAGCGAGAGCCGCTCTGCACACTCACAGCTGGGAACCTGCCTGTCCCCCGCCCCGGATATTCTCTAGGGACAAGCCTTTCTGAAGAAAGCCGGTGCTTCAGGAGACAATGCCCGGTGATGTATTTCATAACGACCTTCGGGTTTTTAATCAGGACAATCCCCTTGTTTGTCACCATCACTGAATCCCAGAGAGATCTCAAATGAAGCAGTCAAGTGCAGCGAGGCCAAGTTAAGCAGCGTGAGAGTCTGACGAGACTGGGCGCGGAGGAGAAGGGGCAGGGGAGCCCAGCTGTCACCCTGGAGACTGGCCCTGGGCGCCTCAGTGGAGGGCAGTGGCTCCGGCTCCCGCAGGGACCCCGCGTCTGCCGTCGGCATGTCCGACGGCACGGCTCTGCCTAACCCTGCCCAGCGCTGAGGAACAGGAGTGTTTCCAACACAGGGAGGCTCAGCCTGAGGCTGGTAACTCAGCGAACGGCGCATCCTAAGTAGGTGCCCAAACTGGGATTTGAATAGGTCTGTCTGACTTCAAAGCCTTGCTGTTCTTTGCCAATAAAGAAGTAATCAAAGGATTAAAATCAACAACAAAACAAGAGAAATATGAAGAAATTACAGGTAGCTAAAGTTACAGTAATTACGCAACCACTTCAACCTTTTTAAATTGGATGGAAACCTAGGGTAAAAGAACGGCGTAACTTGAGATCCTTTACAGCAGATATTTTTCAACCTTTTGTCTGAATTGATTACATTTTCCCATTTAAAAAAACCTGTACTTTGAGTTGATTCCTATCATTTAATATGCAGTAATAAAGATTTGGCTCTTTCCACTGGGAAAACCCCCACAATGTAGCTCTGTCTTTCACAGGATGATTTTCTAGAACTAACAGACTTTCAAGTACTTCACAAATAGGAGTTCCTAAAATTATTCTAAATTTACACTGGAAGTCTGACATCAAAGCAAGAAAAATCCTATAGGTTAATATAATGTAATTTCTTCACTACTTTAACCTTTTAAAAGTAAAATATAGCCCAGCCGGGCGTGGCTCAGCGGTTGAGCGTCAACCTGGGATCCAGGCGACCGGGGTTCGATTCCCGGTCAGGGCACAGGCCCGGGTTGCGGGCTGCAGTCGATCAACGACTCTCTCATCATTGGTGTTTCTATCTCTCTCTCTCCCTCTCCTTTCCTCTCTCTGAAATCAATAAAGATATATTTAAAAAATAATAAAAAAATAAAAATAAAATATGTACGGAACGCCAAACAAGCACACCCTTACCAGCTTTGTCTTTTCCGGGGTTCACGCTGCCGTCTGCCCAAGACTGAGAATCAGGAAGGAGGTGGCTCTGCGACTCTCTCAGGGGCTTTGCAGGAAACTGATGGTTTTCAGGACTGAACAATAATAATCGTCATCACATTAACTCTTAACAGCACTAAGGCGAGCGATTCTCAGAGCATGGCCCTCAAACCACTGCGGTGCTTGCGAGATGCTGTCGGAGTTACCCAAGGGAATGGGGGGACACAGGAGCCAGCACATCACGCTGGCTCACACTGAGAAACGTGTCCTCTCTTCGGCTCTCTTTTCACAATCTTTAACTCTGGCAAATTTCCATTTTTAATACAGCCTCAGCTTCAGACTTTAGCTGGTAAGGGAATCTAGTTAGACCTATCAGTATTTTATTACCAATTTTACGCTGTTACATTCTATTTACGACAAATTATACTAGTTTCTCATTTGTGACAGTGATAGGAAGTTTGGTTTAAAAATAAATCTCTGTGCCAATTTAAATAAATATATTAAAGAAAAATATTATTTTTAAGTGGTATGTGGATATGAAAAAAATATATGAGGGTGATGGTAGAAAGACAGGTTTGAGGAAAAACTGATCTAGTGTTTCTAAAGTGGCCTGACTGGTCTTGAACAAAGAACTCTCTGTCCTCGATGAGACTGAAACAACAAATTTGAGGATCATCTTGCAGGAATGTCGAAAACATCTGACATTATCAGGTCTTACAAACCTGGTGTTTACTTTGGGAAAATGAAGAGTCTTAAAAGAAGAACTTAAGTTTAAAACTGAAAACCTGCCATACATTGACATATTGGATGGTATGAAAAAAAATATACATAAATTAACATTTGAGTTATATAGAAAAATTATTGGCATAGAAGCTTATTTTAGAACACCCTGAAATACTACTTACAGTAATGTTCAAAAGAAAAAAAAACCTACTTAAAATTCTTCCAAGAATAATTTCACGTATTTCAATTGTCTATAATTATTATTTTTTAAAGGACATGCTTTTGCACCTTACTAATCACTTCATATCTAAAATTTGAGAATATTTCAATTTTGTGCAGCTTTAACACACCCTTAGTAAAATTTTGAAGGTAAATCTTTTAAAAAAATCATATGAAAAATCTCTTTTACTCTAATTCTTATTATTCCTCAGGAAAGAGGCCATATACCAGGTGCAGAATACTAAGTCCTGGGTTAGGGACTCCTTGGAGATTGATTGCGGGCAAGGATCCATTCATTCAATGATATTCATTGAGTACCTGTTACATCAATGAATAAAGTATTTGATCTCATGGAAATTTCATTGTAACTGAGGAATAATAGTAATAAATAAATAAATATAAAAAGTCAGGTGACAATATGAGCTATGACAATTTTTTTTAAAAAAGGACAGTGTACAAGGAAATGTTGGAGCAGGCTACTATTATACAAAAGCTTGCCTCTATTTGTGAAGTTATATCTGAGTAAAAGTGAATGAAGAGAAGGCACAGGCCATTCAGAATTCTGGAGGAAGAACATTTAGGAAGAGCAATCAGCAAGTTCAAAGGCACTAAGTAAGGGGCATGCTTGGTACATCTAAGGAACAGCCAAGATCTGTGTGTCCAACAATTGTGAGTAGCTGAAAAGTGGTTAAGGGCTGACATCAGTGGAGAGGTGCTGGGGGCCAGACTAGATAGGACGAGGTAAGAACACTCCTTAGTCTTTATTCAGAGTAAGATGGGAAATCAATGGAGGTTTTTGAGCAGAAGAGTGGCACAATCTGATTTATGTTTTAAAAGGATCATGCTGACTTCTTAATGGACAGACTGGAGTAGGGCAAAAATGGAATCAGGAAGATCAGTTAGGAATTGAAACAATTCATGTGAGAAATTATATGAATATATTTTGAGGGTGAATCTGACGGGGTTTGCAAATGGAGTAAAGGTAACTAAAGAAAGGAATGAGAATGACTCGAGTTTTGGGCCCGAGCACCTGGGAGAACAGAGGTCATGGATGCTGATTCATCTATGGAAGAATGGAGGTTACAATCAGGTTTCAGGTGGGCGTGAGGGTCAAGAGTTCTGCCTTGCACCTGTTCAGCTGGCCATGACTTTTAGGCATTTAAGTGGGAATGTTGGGTGAATAGTCAGATATAACACTCTGGAGCACAGAGGAGATACCAGCATTAACCACAGAAATTTTATAGGGGTTAATGGGGGAATTATAGAATTCTGTAGAAACTTTAGTTGTCAAAATCCAATCTCAACATTTAAGGGAAAGGGAAGAGAAGCCTAGTTACTTGACCTCTTCAAGATGACCTAGCTGGGTAACAGCACCAGAACTGGATTTCTCCCAGTGCCCTCGGTACACTTAGTGGGAGAGACATTATCTCTAAAACCCAGAGTCTTAAACTACAAAAACCACTTAATAAAGATAATCATTATTGAAAACTGTTAAATTTTCTAAAAGCCTCAAAACATAACAAATAACTTATTAAAACTAGATTTTTCTGCACCAAAGTATAAGGAAAACCATTAACATTTAGCTCTGTGGAATTTTCAAGCCAAAATTCACAGAGCATGACCCAAAATACTCTGAATGTCCCTGTGAAACGCATGTAAATCCCTCCTCATTAACTGATAGTCTGATCTATACATAGCTCCCTCTAGGGATGGGGTGGCAAATAGGTTTCATCTCATGACAATTTAAAATAATTTGGAATGACTGCCAGGATCACAGCCTTGAGAAGCATTCTGCGGTCACACCAGGCTCCAGAGGAGAAAGTACTGTTAGCAATAAGAAATCTGCACTAGACGGGGAGTGTAGGTATGGGTGCTGTGTACACAGTATTCTGGCAACTAAGAAAACCTCTAAAATTTAACTAAGAATGCTATTATGGTTATGCTTTTGCTATTGAATTTCATTAAAAATTAGAAGTATGGCCATATTCAAATAACTGTCTTAACAATATAAAAATTCATATTTAAAATTTATTCATATATGCTTAGCATTTTAAACCTTTAAGTAATTTTGCCTTTTCCCAGGTAGTAGTCAAGTCAGAATCAAATTTCAGGTCTTCCTCAGATTCTTGATAGACTAGAACCCAAACAGACTTTAAAGTGCAGGCAAAAGTCTCCAGACAGTAAATTTCCAAGAGCCCTTCCTTGCTCTCTCCACAGAAATGGCTCAGATAATGCTTAGAGGTCTCTAAAGAGCACTAGGAACACGTTGCACCTTGTTAACGGTGCACCTTGTTAACAAAACTGCCAGGCAGGGGGCTGGGATCCCTTTTGGTCTCCAGAGGCCTGATCAGGGAAGTTCTCTGACCTCTTTATAGCAGTTACCAGACAGGGAGGACCTGGAGGGTCAGAGGAAAGTGTACCCTGGGTCGGCTCACCTGATCACTAGGGGAGCTAACTTGGACATTTTTTTTTCTTTTAAGCACTATATTTTACAAAATCATAACATATTTCAGTCGACCAAAATATTTAAAGAATTAACAACCTGTTTACCTACCACCCAGATTAATAACAGAATTTACAAGTATAACTGAAGCTCCCTATACTTTCCTCCCTCTCTCATTCCAAGTGGAAACCATTGTAGTAAATTATGTTCTTAAAACTTTTTTTCAAAGAAACGTAACCAAAGGATACATGAGGATAAAGTATGTTATTCGAAAGTAAAACAGAAAAAACAATATGGGATTACTTTTTAGACGTTGAGTTCAGTCCTGCAGGAGTAGATGGTTGTTCAGGGTCTTGGTTAACGAGGCAAGTTGGAAAGGAGCAGCCATCACCTAGACTATAATTAAAATAAAAACTTACAACTGAGCAACAAAAAAACAACAGAGTGAAATTTTGTTAAAGCGCTGACGTCTGAGAGCAGAACAGTTAAGGACCAAACGAGTATCAGACTGGTTTCAATACAGCATGTTTAGGGACATGGTGAATTAATTGAATTTCACATCGATATAACAGTGAATCATAAAATAATACTTTAAAAAACAGGAGTTTCTCTACAGAATAATGGAGCTCCTTTGTTGGATTACTTTCATTAGTTTAAGACCTGAAGAATTTCACAACAAAATACCTTGAAAAAATGGGTAGGAACCAATACTTCTTCTCATCACCAAAAACTTGTCGCATATTTTTACTGAAACCCAAGCTGAATCCATTCTTATCTGTTCCATGTCGAAATACTGGACTTCTAAAAGCCTCTACAAAAGATAGCAGAGCAATCGCATGAGTAAAGAATGTATCAACTAGTAACCCGTACGTTTAGAAGTGACTGAATTAAACAAGGGAACTCTAAATTCAATGGCTAACCCCCTGTGAGTACTTATGTGCCTACCCACAGCTCAGCAATGCAGAATGCCTGTTCTGTTCTAACATAATCTAATGATTACATTTATTTTAATTTCTAAGTAATCTTTTAATTACTATAGCAGCACATGTATGTTGCAGAAAATTAGAAAATACAAACAAGCAAATAAGTTAAAACTTTACATCTAAACTTTTTTAGACAGATGGGTGGATGGATGGATGGATGTAGATATATACAAATCTACAGCTTTTTAATTAAAATGAGACTATGCTTTACATACATTCTATAACCTGCATTTTAAGTCAGTAAGTTCCATCTTCACAATCTCATTAAAATTTTATATCATCCAGTCATACCTTTTTTCCCAGCTAACCAAAAATGTACTTGAAAGCTGGTTTGTCCAAACCAAGAGCCAAGGCAGAATCATACCTCGTGTCTAGCTATGCCCTCTGCATATGGAAGCTGAGGTGCTGAGAGGCGGTGGGACTTGCCCAAGATCACACACAAAATAAATGTCAGAATGCAACCTGAACAAGGTCATCAGTGTTCCTGCCATAATGCTTCATTATTTTCTGAGATGCAAGAATCTAAAATTTTATTTTTTGAATATGAATAAACATACAAGTATAATGAGTTCTGCCCATCATTTAAAAAAGAAAACTCGTAACTAACGGTGTCAAGGTACTGTGAAAAATGTGGCAATTGGCAAAATCCTTAGCATTTGTCACCCTAAGTTATACAGCTTCATATAAAACATTTTTACAATTAGAGGACCATATTGTCCAGAGGAAGTCCTTTCAGTGTTACTAATTCAATCTACAAGCTGTAGAAGTTAAAAAGTTCTAGAAACAATTCATTTACTGTACTTTTGATGATTTAAAATTTAATTGTCCCACACGTATTCTGAAATAAGATACTTTTTTTTTCTTTTGTTGCTCATGTTTTTGGTATTATATATAAGAATTCATTGCCATGCTTGAGGTTCTGAAGATTTATCCCTATGTTTTCTTCTAAGAGTTTATAGTTTTAGTTCTCCCACTTAGGTCATTGAACCATTTTGAGTTCATTTTTTGTATATGGTGTGAGGTAGGGGACCAACCTCATTTATTTGCATGTAGATATACAGTTGTCCCAGTACCATCTGTTAAAGATACTATTCTTTCCCCATTGAATGGTCTTGGTACCCTTGTTGAAAATCAATTGGCCAAAGATGTATTAGTTCAGGAATCTCGGTTCCATTCCATTGGTCAATATCTCTATCCTTATACCAGTACAGTACTGTTTTGATCACTGTAAAGTTGTAGTAAGCTCTGAAAACAGTAAGAACTTTGTTTTACTTTTTGGTGGATATTGTTTTTGCTATTTGGGGCCCTTGAAATTCCATATGAATGTGGGGATTGGCTTTTCTATTTCTACAAGACCATCGAAATTATAATAGGAATTGTACTGAATCTGAAAATCACTTTGGGTAGTATTGCCATCTTAACAGTATTAAGTTTTCTAATCCATGAACATAGGAAATCTTACCATTTACTTAGGTCTTTAATGTCTTTCGGCAATGCTTTGTGGTTTCAGTCTCCTAGTGTTGTACCTCCCTGATTAAGTTTATTCTTAGGTATTTTATTATTTTGGATACTTTTGTAAATGAAATTGTTTTCTTAATTTTTTGGATGGTATGTTAATGTATAGAAATACAACTGATTTTTTAAAAGCATGTTGATCTTGTGTCATCAACTTTTCAGATTTTATTTATTAGCTATGTTTTTACTGTGGATTCTTTAAGGTTTTCTACCTATAAGATCATGTAATCTGTGAAAAAGGATAGTTTCAATGCTTTCTTTCCTATTTGGATATCTTTATTTCTTTTTCTTGGTTAATTTCTCTAGCTAGAATTTGCAGTACAGTGTTGAAAGCAGCAGAGAAAGAGGGCATCCTTGTTTTGTTCCTAATCTTAAAGAGAAGGTTTTCAGTTTTCACCAATGAGCATAATATCAGTTGTGGGGTTCTCATAAAGCCCTTTATCAGACTGAAGAAGTACTCTTCTAGTCTTAGTTTATTAAGTGTTTTTATCATGAAAGGTATTGTGTTTTGTCAAATGCTTTTTCTGTAACAGTTGAGATAATCATGTATTTTTTCCCCCTTCATTCTATTAATGTGATATATTATCACTGATTGATTTTTGAATATTGAACCATCCTTGTATTCCTGAAATATATCTTATTTGGTCATGGTATATGGTCCTTTTAATATGCTGCTGGATTTGGTTTGCTTGTATTTTATTGAGGATTTTTACATCGATGTTCAGAAGGGATATTGGTCTGTAGTTTTCTTGTGATGTCTTTCTCTGTCTTTGGTATTAATGCAATGCTGACCTCAGAATAAGTTAAAAAGTATTTCCTTCTAATTTTTGGTAGAGTTTTAGAAGAATTGGTGTTAACTCTCTTAAATGTTTGGTAGAATTTACCAGTGAAGCCCTCCGGTCCTTGGCTTTTCTTTGTTGGAAAGTTTCTGATTACTGTTTCAACCTCCTTGCTTGCTATTAGTCTATTCAGATTTTTTATTTCTTCTTGAGTGAGATTGGTAGTTTGTGTGTTTCTAGAAATTTGTACATTTCATCTAGGCTGACTATTTTTTTTTTTTTTTTTGATGTACAGTTGTTCATGGTATTCTCTAATAATCCTTTTTTATTTATATAAAATTGGTAGTCCCCACTTTCATTTATGATTTTCATAGTTTGGGACTTCTCTTTTTCTTTCTTTCTAGCTATAGGCTTGTAAAATTTGTTGTTTTCAAAGAACAGACTATTGATGTCACTGATCTTCTATTTTTAAATTCTCTATTTCTCCCATTATCTCCTCTCTAATCTTTACTATTTCCTAACTTATGCTGGCTTTGGGATAACTCTGCTCTTCTTTTTATATTTCCTTAAGGTGTAAACTTATTGATTTGAGATATTTCTTCTTTCTTAATGTAAGCGTTTATAGCTATATAATTATTTTCCTCTAAGCACTGCTTTTGCAGCATCCCACCTCTGTTGGGCTTTTGAACACATTGTTTTCTCTGCCTGAGACATTTTGGCTCTTTCCATGACTGACTTCTAGGTTAAATATGTTTTATTTTGGTGAGCTCTTCCCTGATCACTCACCTAAACAGGTACCCTTCTACCCCCCTTAGCCCTTGATTTATACCTCAGCATCCTGTTTGTTTCCTTTAAAGCACTTTGCATGTTGTAATTACTTTTATGTTTCGTTACTGATTTTTCTATGCCCCTCACCAAGCTATTCTTCCCTTGCTCACCACTGAATATACACAATGCTTTACATACAATAAACGGTCAAAAACATATGGAATGAGTGAATCTGTTTGTGTCTAAGTCACATCCCACAAAACAATGTGGGTAGTAAGAATGATTTTTACCACTTCAGAACAGGTTGACATTTAATCATATGGCAATGTGTGATGAATATCTATTCATGTACTTAAGTTCTTTTAACTACAATAATTGCATACTCACCTAATGTAGATTTATTTTTGCTGACTAGCCAACAATGATAGCCAAACAGAGAAGACAAGCTGACAGAAAACATAGCTGCGGCAAAGAATAAAAACATAATATGGAACTTGGCTTGAGTATCAGGTAGACCATTCTATAAAGAAAGGAAGAAAATGAAATGCTTTGTCAAAGGGATAAGTATTCCCCTATTTTATAAGTAAGATTGTTTTCTGCTTAAATTTAGATATGGAGAAAGATACATGGCTTTATGTTAAAACTTTGAGAAAAAATATATATAGCATCAGACTAAAATAAATGTTTATTAGAATATGAATATATATGGAAAAGATATTCAAGCTTGGGATATTTATTTTGCTTTTCTATTAACTGAATCATAGAAAAACCGTGGTAATATGTGTGTAAACTGTAACAGAAGCAAGATAAAAGGAACTGTAAAATTTACTTTGGAATTTACTACTTGAATATGTTTTGTTAACATACTACAGATTTATAAATGATTAAGTAATTTTATTAAAGTGCCAGAAGATGAAGGTTAATTGGCACAATGTAGCTGCTATATTCACTGATGTTTTACTTTACTACAAGCAGCATCAATTACAACACCACACAGAGCAACACATCCACAGCAATGCTTCAGGCTATGTAAATAAGAGCATCTTAGGAAAGGTTAACACTAGAGCATGACACCTGTCCAATGTGAGCCTTACAGTGCCATGGGATACAGCAGGCCATCTCAAAGCAAAGCCAGTTTGACTCGCATTGCATGTGCTGTCCAAGGAGACCTGGACTCCATCTAGAACAGCAGGGTTGGGGCTACGGACACACAGTGAAGCACCGGAGCTGCTAGGAGGCGTCTCCTTCTGATAGAAGGTCATAGTGTTTCAATGCCCTGCAGTATCTGTCAGGTTGACACAGGTCACAGGATCTCACCAATAGCTTCTGACAGCAGAGTCCTCACAGTGAAAACTCTGGTCATTCCTTTACGAATGTATTTGTGGTTGGAACTAAAACCATTCACAGAAATAAGGAGCAGTGGGGTGACATTCTGTCCGACATTCGTTGGGGATCATTCTTCAAGCTGGACTCTGGACATGTACTTGAATGCTGGGAGCATGTCCACACGCGTGGGTATTCCCAGTGCTTAGCAATGTAACGGGCACATAGTAGCCATTCAATAAACTTTTGGAACGGAATGTGTTTAAAATCCCACATAAATGATCTAGCAATTCATAAAGTCTTACCATAATAAAGAATAATTTCATGAAAATAATAAAGCAATTCTGGCAGAGGATAACTAGTTTTTACCACTGTTTGGTGTTCACGAGGAGTATCTTTGGCTATTTAAAATACTCAATTTTAACTTTGTTTTGCTTGCACTTAAAATAAATAGTGCAGAAAACAAGTGAGTTAACTAAAGCCTAATCAAGCAATACCTAATAAAAATTTGGGGCATTACAAATATAATAGTTTTTAAAATAATCTTTTTACACATAAAAAACCCTTCTATTTTTAACTACTAAAAAAACAAACCTTATACAGTGAACTCTTGTCATTCTCAGTGGTTGTGTTCTATACGGTTGTGTTCTACGAACTCTGAATTCCTCCCAGGGCAAAAACAGGGTTAGGTTCCTGCAAGCCTCTGGTCACAGCACTTTTGTCAACTCACCTATTTATAACCTGGTTTTCTGGATGTTTGTGCTTAAAGACACATTACTGAAAACGTACTTTTTATTGTTGATTCATTAACACAGAACTCACACCCAACATCACTATAACTCATGCCAGAAGGAAGCTTATCCAACACACATATTTCCTCCATAGAGCACATCACACGGGTGCTCAGAAGCACTAGACAGTATTTCAGCCCTAAGCTTGAAGACCATTTTAAACAGAGAAATGACCAACAAAAAGCACAAAAATGCAAAAAAACATGGCACTAAATAGACTGAGAAGCACACTGTGTAACAATATGAGTTCTGAAACAAGAAGGCTGAGTCTCCTTGTTTGATTCAACTGGAAATGCGCACACAGGGCCATGCAAATTTCTAGCCACTCTGTGCATGGCTGCAAATGACCACAAGAGGTCTGTGAGCACCGATTTTGTGATAGAAATGCTAGCAAGACGTGAATTCACAAATACAGAATCTGCAAATTACTACTGACTATATATAGATGAGCTCAATTCTACGAAATCAGTGTCTGAAATAACTCGCTAATGAAAAATCCGTATTATATATTTTTTTGTACCCAAAAAAGTCAACAAGGTAATGACTTACTGTCCAAAATTTGATAAAATACTGTAAATCTGTAGCAGCAATAAAAAGGCAGTAGAGCAGGGAATAAGCCAAGAAAAGGAGGAAAAACTTATAATTTGAAAATCCGACACAATTGTTCACCCTGTTGACAGAACAAAAACATTTTCGATGAGTTTTACATTTTCAACATAGTATACACATGTCCGACCATAACACAGTGTTTAGTTTCCTGTCATTTAAAGTGTACTGGCATTTCTTAAGTGTAATTCTCAAGATTTCTTTATACATACAAATATTTTAAAAATCCATTTCAATAAAAAGGAATTCTGTGTTTAGCTTTTTCAAATTTGACACGTAATATTGCTTTAATCAATCGTGAACCATATAACCATACAGTTGACCTTTGAACAACATGGGCTTGAACTGCGCAGGGCCATTCACGCACAGATTGTTTTCAATAACTATACAGTCGGCCTTCCGTATCCCCAGGTTGCACATCCATGGATTCAACCAACTGTGGGTTGAAAACAGCATTTTCAACACGACTGGGAATCCGCAGACGCGAACGGCCGGCCCTGCTCACTGTTCGATGCCATTTTTATAACGGACTCGAGTCTCCATGGAGTTTGGCATCTGCAGGGGTCCAATCCCGTGTGGATGCCGACGGACAACTGATGTTTTGGGAAGTCAAAAGTTATTCCTGGGCTTTTAACCGGGCAGGGGTCAGCGCCCCGAACCCTCACGTTGTTCAAGAATCAACTGCATTTCATGTCCAATTCCACAAATAGGCACATGCCTGAAAGCACAGAACTTGTTAGAAACCTAATGCCGTTAGGCAGCTACGAGGAATTTACTCAGTTCTTTTTCTATGTTACCTTTGGGTCTGATTTCCAATTACGGTTAAGTGATTTAACATATTTCAGGTTTTCCCAAATTAGATGAACATCTTCAGCTACTCCTTGCATGCCGTCAGCATAACACAGGCATGTTTGCGATTCAAGCTATTCCATCAATAAACATAAATACAAATGGCCCTCATACTTCACAGTCACACTCTATCTATCGAAGACTTGGTTTCCCCTTTTCATAGACAAGGGGATTACTGGATAATCGTGTGTAAAGGTTTCAGCAGCACCTAAGCGAAACCGGCTGACAGCTGCACTGGCTGAGCGAGCCCCGTGAGCCGCCCGATAAGCCCGCGCATAGTGCACACACCTGGCGCTTCCTGCCCTCGGTCGGGGTCCTGCTCTGACGTCGGTCCAGCAGTCTCGCCCTCTACTGACTCTGCTAATAGACGGAAGCATTTTTCTTTCTAGACTGAAAGTGACACTGTTGGTGTGAAAAATGTCTGCTCACTGTACTGGATGAGCCCGTTCTGGAGCCTGCGGTGCAACTCTGCCTCTAGTGAGCAACGCCGAGTGCACGCTTCAAAACTGGAGAGGGCAGAGCTCAGGGAAGTGCTTTTACTACAATAAAAAATTTTAAAGGCAAACGTTGACTTGGCCTATGAGTAAACCGGAAATTTGGTGGGAAAAAGAAAATGTTTATATTTCTGATCTCAAATAATATAAGGCAAAGGGGATAGCATTAGCTTTTATCATTTTGGAACTTAAGGATCTTGTTTTACATTCATAAAAAAGCTAAAAATTGTGGGCTCACATTGTATGAAAATTAATGCAAAACGGAGGTTATTTACTGCGACCTCTTTTGAGGAGAACATCACTCTCCCAGGAGTTAAGGAGCCTTAACCTGTTCAAGGAGGAAGTCTGCATGGACAGAAGGAAAAGGAATCCTGGAGAGGGGCACAGAAGACAGCGACCCTGGCATCTCCCTCCTGTTCCTGCAACTAAGACCTTCATTCCCTGCATGTCTGTGCTTCAACCTACACCTGGCACAGCTTTCCCTAGTGCCACCCCTGAAAGAAGATAAGGCTCATGGCACAATCGTGCTTAAGATCCAAACCCAACCTGGCTGGCAGCCTCGGTGGGATTGTCAAAAGCACGTGCGCACTGGGGTGAGAAAGTAGAGGGAAGGGTGGAAACATCGGCCTCCTTTAGTTAATTAGATTTTCAAAGAATCCTCTATGAGGACACCTAATTTCATGACTCAGAAATACTTTCTTAAATACTAACGAATCCTAAGTGGAAACCCTTATTTCAACATATGTGTGTATTTGCATATTTGTTCTTCTACTCCTTAATGCCAAGTTTTATGTAAAATAAACTGTTAAAGCTTTAGATGAATTAATTATCAGCAACTTCCAGTGAGGTATTGTGTTTATATGTACATTTTGGTGTAATTTCTGGGAATATCTTTGAATTTCTATGTTTATGCATGTGCATACAAAGAAAACCATTTGTTCTGAGCAAATATGAGAAATTAACTTTTAAATTGTTAAGCTACTGGTTTTAATTTCATGGACATTCTCCCAAATAAAGATTGTTTTGAATTAATTAAGCAAATATCAAAAATTAAATCTGAAAGTACCTCCTAAGTCAGCTAAGGTAAGATTTCATTTATAAGAAGATTTAAATAGATAAATTATTCCATTTATTAAGTTATAAGGGACAGAAATTTGTTTAAGCATAGAGCCAGACTCACCATGGGCAATGATGATCCATCTTCAAAATACATCTAAAAAGAACCATACGTACACAAAACTCAACACCCCATAAAAATTTAGTCCCATTAAATTATAAATATATATATTTACTTATCTAAGTTATTTGTTTATCTAAAAATTAAATAATAGGAGGGGGCAGGGACTGGACGGAGGTAGGTAAAGGGGAAGGGGGGAAATGAGCGACTATCTGTAATAGTATCAACAATAAATTTAATTAATAATTAATTTTAAAAATTGAATAATAGCAAAAGTCCTTGTCTAAAACAAAGACAATAGCAATTCCAGTTATGATGCATTAACAGAAGTTTTAATTCAAAATATAACATGCTTTAACATCTAAAAACAATGCAGTGTGTTAATATACAATTATCTCATGCTAAAGACAGTGCTAAGTGTCAACAGACTTACAGAAAGTCTAAGTAAGACTTTTCCTTTCATCTCAATCCTTAAGCCGGGAAGTAGTGTTCTTGTGGTTATACTAAATATAGAACATCTGACTGTCACAAAGTCAATTAGTTATCTTATAAAGATGGGAAAGAGTCACAGAGGAACTATTTACTAAATCAAACTAGCCAAGTCTGAGGTGCTAAAAATCATGCACTTCATTCATGTCAGCGTGAATCTGGGGGAAAAGGGACGACTGATTTTGGCCCTAAACCATGCTCGTTGCTAATGCAAGTGAACATGCCAATTATATTTCCTAAATAAAGGTGTGAGAACATGAATCAGGAGGAAAGGGAACAATCTGGGAAACAGTGAAAAAACAGAAACATATTCAATAAAAAGACCACTAGCATGTAAACATTTTAGAAATAAAAGGTTTTCTTACTTATCACAGACGGAACAGTGATGGCAGCGGTCTGGTTTTATAAGTTGGCATCTGTCACAATACCGGATTGCTAGGAACAAAAAGCTCCACTCAGCCTTCGACTGACAGGCCTTACGCTTCCGCTCCTTCCCTTAATCCCCCGGGTCAAGGGCACAGGGTCAAAGACTGCCGCAGAAATGCAGAGGCAGGTTTCTCTACCTGGTACCGTGACCGTCAGTAACCGGTTTTGGAAACGTGTGCAGTGATTCATTCACAGGGGGCTCAGGCTTCCCCAGTTTGTTCAGGTTTACAGAGGGTAAATAGTCTTGAACTTGAACCTCAGCACATCTCTGGCTTTGTGGGATAGGACGGGTGACATAGTATTAAATCAGAGACTTAGAAAACAGGAAAAAATGGTGTGTGACTTAGAGTTGGATTCAATTATGATTTTAAAGTGAGTTAAAAACAAATGTAAATATAAAATAGTAATGAGATAGGTCACATTCTCTTTTTCATCCTAAGTCTTTCAAGTCAGTTGTGTATTTTATACTTAAAGCACATCTCAGTTTGGATTAGCCATATTTTAAGTGCTCAGTGGCTTCCCTGGCCAGCATGGCTCAGCTGGCTGAGCGTCTTTCTTGGCACCAGAAGGTCACTGGTTCGATTCCCGGTCAGGGCACGTGCCTGGGTTGCAGGCTTGATCCCCAGTTGGGGGCGTGCAGGAGGCAGCCGATAGAAGTTTCTCTCTCATCAGTGTTACTGTGTCTGTCCCTCTCCATTCTTCTCTCTCTTGAATCAATAAAAACATATTTTTAAAAATATATTAAGTGCTCAATGGCCACATGGGGCTAGTGGCCACCCAAACGAGTAGCACAGGTCTAAAGTTACAAAGTTTCTGGGTAAATCTTGGTAGGAAAGTGTCAATAGTCCATGTGTGCTAGTTTTTAAGACAAGCCGTTATCTTAAAAATCTGACCCAATTAAAAGAGATCTTACCTGAGTTGCATTTCTTAAAAAATTACCATAAATTTTAAAGAAGAAAAATTGTACCAATACCTCACTTACATTTTATATAATTTGTATAACTGCTGTTTTAAAGGTATGTAAAATTATCAATGTTATGCTCATTATAGATATTGCTTCCTTAAATAATTAAATTAAATTATTAAATTAAATTAAATTAGAATAGGAAGGTCTATAATTAAAACTAAAAATGGATACTACTACAAATCAAGATTTCAGCAATCCACAGAGTCACAACCAAGTAGGCAGAATAGATGTTCAGTCCCTGTGATTTGGCTGGGGTCTCTGTGCCACTGTTATTCATGCTCCCACTGTGGTTTACGGAACTGTGCAGTAGAGATTTAACAGCGGCCTGAGATAGGGCACAATGTTTCTCAATGAGCGTTTGATAGTTTCAAGTATATACAGATATGCTGTCTCCCAGCCACCACAAGCCACCGTGCGAGCACTGATCACGGGCCTCTACCTCCAGACATGGTCCTCGTGTAGATGGGAAGGTCTTTGGCGGCTCGCCTAAGAACTTCCTGATGGGCTTCTCCCCTCGGCTCTCTCTCCAACAATTCTTTCTCTGCGTACGAGAGATGGAACTGTGGAACAGAGTTAAATTTCAATCAGTATTTTCAAAGAAACGATAACATATTGATCTACTAACCCAGAAAAAGGCATTTATAAAATAGTAATGGTATATAGCATATAATTCAGAGAGGTAATAGAGCTTGAAATCTGGGCAGGTCTGTTAACCTCATAGGTTATTAGTTTATGCATCTAGAAAACAGGGTAATAGTAATAATAATAATAGTAATACCATCTTCCTCAGATGTTTGTTAAACTCAAGAGGAACAGAGTATGTAAAAGTACATTATAAACTGTAGAGTTCTATCTGAATATTAGTTACATTAATAGATAAAATGGCAAAAGAAACAGATTTGGCTCAACAGATGCATTTTTCAATTGGATATCATTAGAAACAAAAATAGAAGCAAATCATGCACGTTTTCTCATGTGAGTGAGTTTTAAATTACGAATAATTATTACATGAATTCTAACACTCAAAACAGACTAATCATTAATTATACTTATACTGCCAATTTGGCCCAACCAATTGAAAAATACTTAGTTGAGAAAAATGAAAATCTGTTTGGGGTCCAATATGATAATAAAAAACCCACAGTTTTAAAAGTCTGTTTGAAGTCCTATGAAAGTCTGTTTGAACTTCCTTACTTTCTGGGACCATAAGGTGCTCCTGGCTCATCCTGAATATTTCCTGTTCTACTTCTAGGATCAGCTGTTTCTCCAAGGAGTCCTCCTTCCTTTTACTGAAGAATGGTATTAAAAACCAAGATCTGGGCTCAAATACAGTTTTTAGATCAAAGGAAAGTATAATTTTAAAAGGACATACCAATTAAGAAAAAAAACCAGAATCTAAAAACAAGTAAACAGAAAACTCTCAACTGTATTTTCTTCTTGCTAGTTGTTTCTCACTTACAACAAAAACAAATATAACCTCACAAGTACCTAACATGTGCCAACTGAAACAGAACTTTGTTTGCCTATGAAGTTGGCAACAGTTTTCTTAATAACAACATGCAACGCCAAGGGTCTGATAAAACTGGAAGTATTGTATGTAAATTTCTACAGTCCTTTTGGGAAATAATTTGGCAAGTGACTTAAATTTCCCTGATCTAGTGATTCAACATGAGAATTTATATTAAGGAAATAATCCCCAAATGGGTAATGCCCCATGTACGAACATGTTAACATTATCTATAATATGAAAAGTTGGGATCAACCTGAAAATCCAGGTTCGGATGCAGCTGAGTAAATTTTTATGTTTCAGTGGGAATATTATGCTTTTATTAAAAATGAAAACAAGCCAATGATGGACTATTATGTAAAAAAATTAACTAGAAAAAAAATTCAGAATATAAACTGAATTAGTGGGATGGGATGTTTTTCCTTCTATTTTCTAAGTGTAATTTGGTATGGTTATATCACTTGTATATTGAGGAAGAAATCTTACAATGTTTGGGGCCTATTGTTACATCTGAAAAATGGTAATAAATAATATCTATCTCACACAGTTATATGAATCAAATAGGGTAAACATGTGTTTTGTGGAAAAATCATCCGACGAAGCCTGGGGCAGCTGTAACTTCACCGTATCCCAGCTGCCCACCGATACTGTTATTTCCTCTGCGTTTGTGTCGTTTCGTTTTCCCACTGTACCCACCCACATTCCAAACCTTCTCTGCTCTCCCAAACCTCAGTCAACCCGACCCCCTCCTCGTTCTCGGCCGATCACCTCGCACGCAACCGGAGAGAAGTCAGGAGTCGTTTCAACGTCCTGCCAACGCTACGAGCACCAACTCGCACCCCTACTCATAACTGCTCTGCTTTCAGCTCGTGAACGAACATTGCCTGAGTGCCTTCCACGGGTGAGACACTTGTTTAACAGCGGCCATGGATTCGCGAACACAGGTAAGGCGCATGCCTTTCAGAGCCTATGTTCTAGGGATGTTATAAAATCCGGACTGTGCTGTAGACCCACGCGCTGTGGGGAAAACATAGCAAGGGCGGGGGGACCGGGGCCGCTGGGGACAGGACGGCTTTGCTATTGTATACAGAGCGGTCACGGAAAGCCGCCAAGATTAGTGCCACTTGAACAGGGACGGACAGGAAGAAAGGAAGGAGATGGTCAGGCAGGAGAAGGCTGTCGCGGGTCACGGAGACCGGCAGGCTGCGAGGCCCCCGAGGGAGGGACGGCGGGGAGGCCGAGGTGGCGGGCCCAGCGCTGAGAGGGCCACACAGGCGCGTGGGGCCATGCCGGCCTTTCCGGCGACAGCAGGAGGCCAGGCTTTCACTCCGGGTGGCTCAGGCAGCACAGGACAGTCCTGGGAAGGAGAACGTGACACATCTGCCCTGGGTCTGGAAGAAGGGCTCTGGCTGCCGCGCTGGAGATACGCAGAGGGGGCCAGTGCGAGAGCCCGGGGGCCGGCGGGCACCGCGGCAGCCGGGCAGAGGGGCGGCGGGCACGCGGGCTCACGCTGGGGACACCCCCAGGGTTTTCTGAACAACTGGACCAGTGGAGCTGCCATTACCGAGACAGGGAAACCTTAGCAACAGGAGGCTTAGGGGCGAGGGTGGGAAATCAGAAGCTTGCTTTCAGGTGTTGAATTTGAAGCTCCTAGGAGACGCCAAACAGGTAGCTGCAAATGAGCCTGGAGTTTAAAGGAGAGGGCCGGACTAATGATATTAATTTGAAAGCTACCGTAACGAATGAGATGGTATATAAAACCATAATGCAGATAAATCAGAGAGAGGTCCAGAGACTGAACTCTGGGATAATCCAACGCTTTAGAGCTCAGGACATGATGAGGAACCACCAAAGGGGCCAAGAAGGAGGTGCCAGTACAAAAAAAAATAGAATTATTTGGATGAAAAACGCAATAAGAATGTTCTAGAAAGAAAATAATGGCATGATATGCCTAGGAAGCTACATGTAATTAAGAACAACTAGAGTATAAAGTGGGAAGTCAGAAATTTAATTTTTATTTTTTTAAAAATGTTTTTATTGATTTTAGAGAGAGAGGAAGGGAGAGGGAGAGAGAGAAACACTGATGAGAGAGAAACATCCATTGGCTGCCTCCCGCACGCCCCCTACTGGGGACCAAGCCTGCAACCCGGGCATGTGCCCCGACTGGGAATCGAACCCGTGACCTCTTGGTTCATGAGTCGACGTTCAACCACTAAGCCACACGGGCCAGGCTGGAAAGACAGAAATGTCGATAAGAGTCACTGTTGTCAGACTAAGGAGATGGCTTCTCCCTGTGGGATGTGTGGAGTCGCTGAGTAGGTACAAGCAGGAGAGTGGAGGCCTTACATTTGTTTTCAGACGGATCACTCCGGCTTCAGGGTGGGGGGTGAATTTTTGCAGGGTTCTGGGAAGGCAGTGTCAGCGAGACTGGAAACAGTGACACCATATAGGAGAAGTCTGCAATGTCTCAGACAAAAGAGAGGCCTGAGACCCTGAATGAAGTCAATGATTATAAAGGGAGGGAGGGAGGGAAGGAGGGGGGGAGGCAAGAAGGGGTTGGAACTATAAAAGGAATATTAGGAGCTGAAAGCATCAGCAGAGTTTGGATGCTGGCAGAGGGGTGAGGAAGCCAGAGGATCCGGCACGGCCACCAAGCTTCTGGCATGAATGACGTGATGGGTGTCAGGGCCATGAACTGGTCTGAGACACGGCTGAGTCACGGCCTGGGGAAGGAGACGGTGGTGAATTCAGTTTCCGATGTGTTATATTTGAGGCGTCAGTGGAATGATCAAGAAGCTACGTTTGGCAGGGAGATTATGTCTGAAATTCACGGGGTAGGTCAGGAGTAAAAACACATTTGGAAATTTCAATATAGAGGTCACAGGGAAGGTCATAATCATCAGCACAGTGGATGAGATCACCCACGGCAGAAGTCAGCAATTTCCTTCAAACATGCAACCAAGGCCAGGATGGGGGTAAGAGAGACAATAGAAAAGAGGTAAATAGGGTAGGAGGGAAGAGAAAGGGGTAGGGAAAAAAAAAAAAGTAGCCAGTAGAAGGAAAAAAGGCTGCATCTAACACATTCTGGCCAAGCAGACCATTAATTCTGTGCAAGTACTGTGGCTTTGTTTTTAATATCCCTTCCTAGGTCACATAGCGTATTTACTGGCCTTTTTCACCACAGCTGCATTTCAAACAGGTTCCTTCAGGAAACAATTTACAATGATGCCCAGACCTTTTTTTTTTTTTAAGATCAGCCTACTAAAACCACACTATTATTACTGGAACAAAATTTATTTCTATTCAACGAACATGTACTGGACTAAGTACACCAAGGATATAAAAATGTGTAAGACATGCTCCAAGAATATTTAACCAGGATTAAAGACCCAGAAACAAATAGCCAGGATGATCTTTCGAAATGTATATCTGACCATATCACTTTACTTAAAAGTTTCTGTGGCTGTGACCGCTAGTTGGCCCCCAATATTTCCTTCTTCTAACATGGTTAACATGCAAACAGATTAGGGCCATGTAACTAAGTTCTAAGTGTAAGTGGAAATGGCATCAGCAACTTCCAAAAAGTGTCCTTAAAGAGAAGGACATTGACTACTACTCCTTTTTCTTACTTTTTCTGGCCTGTTGGCTGGAATGTTGACGTGATGGCTGGAACCAGAGCAGCCATATTAGGCCAAGAGGTGACCTTGGGAATGGAGGCTACACCTATCAGAGCAACAAAATAGAAGAAGCCTGGAAACCGGGCAGCTGTGGCCTAGCTATAGACTTTGAATATACAGATTAGTTAAATAATTACTTTGTTGTTTGGTGGCTAACAGCCAACCAACACCCATTAGTATGACAATTATAACAGAAGCATGTCTACCTTCAGCTCCATCTATCTATCTTTGTATCTATCCGCCCATCCATCCTGATGTCTAAGTCTAAAGTACAACTAGGACACATAACAGATTTGACACAAGAAATATAATGCTCATCCAGTGTAAAACTAATATTTACCAAGTGAAAATTCAAGTATTTACTAATAGACACGTTAATATTTAAAAAAACCATCACACTCAATAAGTTTGCAATATTAATAAAAAGACATAAAATCCATTCTTCAGACATTGGTATTATTGATTTCCAACGTTAGGATGACTTTACTAATATTTTCACTTACTTCTTTCGAAGGATTCATCGGTAGTGTAAAGATAGTTTTCCAATACGACCAGACAAACATTGCAAAAAGCAGATGATATGCAACCAGGCACACAACTAAAGTGAGAGAAACATAATTACCACCGTGATATGCACACTGGCGCTCACAAACAATCTGCTTGTTCTAAAAACGCCAAAATTACCCATTATAAAAAATTCATTTTATTCTGAATTTTTAACATTAATTTTTATTATTGTAAAGAAGTTCATCTCTATCATACCGAAATAGGTACAACTCAATGAATAAATGTTTACACCTAAAGCCAAGAGCTTTTTTAAAAAAAATCCCTAATAATGCATAATTAGATCTATGACCATGATTAGTGCCCTCCCACCTGCAGACAGGCCCATCTATTGGCAAAACAGCTCCCAGGGAACTTTCCTAAATTGCAAAAGTGAGCAGTTACGCCTGCAACTCCAAATAATAAACACAGCCTTAAACAAATGTCAAAACGTTCAGGCTTAAAGAACTTGGCTTCACAAAGCGTAGCAAGAGCGGCTCCCACGTGAGAAGCCGTTTGCCTCCTGGCTCAGCCCCGGTCAAATCCGCTGGCCCCCACTGTTTCAGTGACAACACATCTAAACAGAGAACCATCTGGATGAAGAGCAATGTTGTCCAACAGAAGTTCAAGCGTCTGATTTACCAGATGGGGCAACTGTTACAAAAAGCTTTCTGGTACTTTTTTTCAGGTAACACATATAAACACGCTCGTGTGGTATTTTATTCTTGAAGCACTATGCGAATGTAAAATGTTAGTTTTGTATACAGGGACAGCGATTAATTCTGGAATATACATTAATACATAACAACTCTGTGAGATCCGGTTGAATAAAACATGCTGATTTAAAATACAGCATATTTGGTATTTTAAACCGTTAGTAGCACTTCTAACTTTTTAAAAGAATAATACTCATGCTTATAGAAGCATTAAAAATTAAATTATCCATTACGGCATGAATCAGTGTGAGATAACTAGAGCCAACAATACTGTCCATGAATTATGTAGGCGACACGGGTAAGGGGTAGAACAGGAAGCTGCTGATATTCCCGTAGCAGGAGGCTCTCTGACTGGAGCCAGGAGGACCCCTGGCACTGTGGTGGCCGTGTGGGGGCAGATCCGGGCCAGTGTCTGCCAGGGCTGTGTGGGGGCCAAGGAACGGGACATCTTCAACCCCAGCTCGTCTCCCCATTCTTAAAGAATTATTTATTTACCCCGACCCGATCAAAGTGCATTCTACTTGCTTTTACAAATGATTTTTAAGATTTTATATCTAAAACCATAATAGAATAGATTTTACCTTGTTCCCCAATGTTTTCCATGGATACTGTAGAAATGAAAAGAAAAAAAGAGAGGAAACAGGTTATGTGAAGCAGCTGGCAAGCACGGGGCCTGACGGAGAGAGGGCACTAGGTAGGTTAATAACTGGATTCCCCTTCATACCCACATCCTCTAAATATTAGTTCAAGTTCATTTAGGAGAGCTGAGCACTGAGGAGAGGGTGGAGGGAGACGAGGTCAGGCCCGGCGCCCACACAGAAAACAAAGCCTGCCAGCCTTGCGCCTCGTGGGTCTCGCTCCTAGAGAACCAGCGGCTCTCTCAGCCCCCCTTCCAACTAGAGTTCAGATAAAAGCATCGTTTTCCAGGTTATTCCACTTCCAGAGGCATTTGTTGTTGTTGATAAGCTGTCAACCACCTAGTTAGCGCTCCAAAAAGAAAAACACACACGTTGTGTCCATGCCACACACTCCAATTCCTCTAAGTGCCAGTTCTTGTGCCCGATGACTCATTGCCCCCTACCTATAATGAGGGGCCCAGGCAAGGTGCCAGAGAAACTGCCATGCCTTAGGGGCCGCCGTAAGTATCCCAAGGTGGCGGCCAGATCAGCACAGGGACGGCAAAGCTACAAGCTGGGACAAGAAACTGAACGTAGTAACCCAGGCAGCTCTCTGAGCACCGGCACTGGCTACTTGTGTTTCTCATTTGGTCTTCTCCTCCGTGAAGGTCCCGTTTAGATCGCTTGTAGCAAAAGATATGACTTTGCTCATTTATGTATTTCTGTTCCTGTTTGGCTTTTGAAAGGGGTACAGTCCTGGGATATATAATTTCATTGTCTTAAGCAGCACTGGGATCAGAGGGTCATGTTCTGAGGGATTTTTAAGATTACCTGACCCAACAATAAAGGTAAAGTTAAAAAGCAAAAAGAAAACATACTTCATAAGCAAAAAAGAAAAAAGGTTTTCTGATCCAACCAACCTCCTTTCCAAGAGAGCTACTGAACGTCGGTTTAGGCATTTCTGGAGGAGCAGAAGCCCGCAGTTTGGGAGAGCAGCCCATTCCTGTATTAGATTGCTCTAAGAATAATTATAAGATTATTGTGCTGAAGTTAGCCTCTTTGTGGCTTCTACGCTTCCAACCTGTAGCCATAAACAGAAAATCTAAATGACAGACCTTCACATACTTAAAGTTGTGCCTCCCTTAAAAACGTTCTCTTCAAGCCCAAATACACGACTTCCAGATCTCTCACCAACCTCGATGAGGCTCCTTCCTAGGCTCTCAATTCCCTTTAACATTCTGATCCCCAAAACGGACTGGCAGACGCAGATGAACTGTGACTTACAAATGGCCTGTCCCACAGGTTTGCTTGTAAATCAGAGGCTGGAGGGTCAGAGTTCACTTTCTCAGAGAATCCCTGCAGTGGTTGGTCTGAGGACTGGAGAGGCCTAGGCGAGCCTGTCTATTAATCTGACCCAACCCCGCCCTAGATGCATTTCTCTCTAGGCACTGACTTCCCAGCCTTCAAAAGTGCTCCATAACTGACTGCAGCTCTTCCTCAGATCAAGATTTCCAATCCTTCAGTGGAGCTAATCTAAAGAATTGGAAAGGCAATTTGACTCCATTTGCACATTTACGTATGAATGACCCTCATGAACAACCCTGAAGGACCATCAGAGGTACTGGTGTTTTAAAGAAAATGTATCTGCTAACCCATGATTCTAGCTGTCAGAATTGAAAAAAACAAAGCAAAACAAGATGAAATTTAAAAAGGAAAATGTACAGTTAGTATGAACTGATAATCTTTTTGACCTGGACCACTACCTTATTGCCTGATATGCATTGAAAGACATCATGTTAAAGGCTATTTCTTCCCTTCACAGCTCATTTTTCTCTAAATGACTTCAAAATCCACAGATGCTCTATTTTTTCCAACTAAACAAGTTATATGCATGGACATGGATGCATGCCTATGGTAAATAATTCCAATAACATTTATAGAGTAAAATGTGAAAGTTCAAAAAGGCTGCATCAATTATACCCCTACAAAGATCCTGAGCCTGTGCAATTTCCTATAAACATAAAAATCTTTACCTTCTGTCGATAACTTAGGTAAAAATAAAAATCACTGTTTTAGCACTGATTTCCCTGATTACTGGTGAAGGGTGCTTTTTTCTCTCTTCCCTGACTGAATTACCATTTCCTTAAGTTTACATCTCTTTTACTTATGGAGAGCTTTTGACTATTATGGACAGAAATCCCACGTGTGTTACTTATGTTGCAAATACAGTTGTGTATAACTACTTTCAAATGATTTAATATATACTAGCAAAATCTGTGGCTTATCATGATTAAATAACAGTATCAAAATTTTCAAATTGACCTATGTCACTAACAGATACATGGTCTCTACTTTCGTGAGGCTGAGGACACTAATGTTCTCTCAAACATGTAAACCTACGCGTCAGCAAGTCACCTTGTAATTTTCAGTTCAGCAGAATTGTCAATTTCAACATTTCCTTTCTCACTATAAAAATACACCAAGTACAGTGCTATTTTCAAATGCAAATGTTTTTGTTTTTAAACGACTGTGGAAGAAAAGGTTGCAATTTACTCTTGGGGATAAGAGCACTGCATCATTACCTGAAATATTTACAATTTGTACAATGGGTGATCATCTAAATACATATAATAGTAACACGGTGGGTCACTATTTTAATTTTCATTTCAAAAATTTATTTGTCTAATTTTATTTTGGATTAGCCTAATTTATTTCTGGTCCATGGCCTACAATGATAACATTTTAAGATTTAAAGATTTCTAACTTTCCAATATACTTCTGGAACTTAAACTCTTCCCAGATTAGTTATAGATTAGTTATAGTGCAGCTAGAAAACAAGGACCCTGACTTGTTAAGATCCTAAGGAATTTCGGCACTTTCTTGGCACTGATAGTGCAGAGAGAGAGAGAAAAGTGGGAATAGAACATTATCACCATTTACCAGGGATGATGCTCCTGTTTGCCAGGAGCAAATGAAGGCCTTTAAAGATTCCTCTTGGAACCTGGAGCCACTGTGCATATAGCAAGGCTGGTAGTTTGGGTTGCCGGTTGTTTTCTGGGTCCCCTTTCTGCCTAATCCCCTCCTCGCTCACTAATCACTTCTCTGAGAAACAGAGTGGAGCATTAGAGAAAAGGCTGGATTGGTTCAGAATGGTTAAGAGCGATACTTTTTGTTGCCGTGTTGATCCTTATGAAATCCTTGTGTAAAAACAAAACAGGTAAAACCAGAGCTGGAGAGTGAGACTGTCGGTCAAGGTAATAACCACTAATATACAGAAGGATGACAGACTGTTTCTTGATCCAACTTGGCTTGAACAAAAATAACATCTAAAACTTCAGATGGAAGATACGCTTTCATAGTAGATTTTTAAAAATGAACTTTCCCCCTTAAATTAGCAAAGAACAGTTACATAATTGGCTGCTAGAACAATTTGGTACTCTCGCTGCAAATGTGTATTGCTGTGACCTTTTTATTTCTTTTCTTAATCGGAATTTTCTTTAACTTGCCTTCAAATTGAAACTCCCTCTTTTGGAGGAATAATGTAGTCATATTGCACATACCAGCAACTCCTCTGTCTAAAACCACTACACTGTTTCCAAACTGAGTCTGGCCCAGATACATCTCAGCACCATACATACAGCCTGAGAATGGAGAGAACCAGAAACAAAGACGTGGTTCTAATGAATGAGTCTTAAGGATACTTTATAGCCAGGCTCTATTTTTTTCTGCTTCTGTTTAACTCACTTATTGAAAACATTCACTGACTATGTTATATTTACCCTGTTGAGGATAAATTGATAAAGAGACTGTGTCCCTGTGCTCAAAAAGCTTAAAGTTTATGAGAAATCACTTTAGTTAGAAGTTAAAACTAACTGAAAAAACAAAACAAAAAACCAGGACAGAGTTATTAAATATTTTCAATTAAGGGATTAAGAAGTACAAATTAGTAGTTACAAAGCAGCCACTGGGATGTAAAGTACAGCATTGGGAATACAGTCAATAATATTGTAATAACTACGTACGGTGCCAGGTGGGTACTGGAAGTATCGGGGGGAACACTTTGCAAAGTATATGATTGTCTAACCTCTATGCTAACACAAAACTAATACCAAATAGCGTTGAATGTAAACTGTAATTTAAATATAAAATAAAATTTAAAAAGCATTTCCAATTAATCACAAAAGCAGCTCAGATTCAGAAGATTAAGGCAAAAATAACAGTACAAATATGCTCAACCTTCTCCTGTCCCAACAAAATCTCTCCTTCGACCTCATGCCTGTAGCTGCCATCCCACTTCTGGCCCTTTTGCAGGAAAACTCCCTTTAACAATCATTCAAATGCACCGTCTCTACCCCCCTCCCGCCCTCCTGCTTTCCCCACCAACCCCAATGGGTCCCTCACCCCAAGCATCTCGCTGCTACCACTCCGGCCAGGGTCACCCGCACCCTCACGCCTCGCTCTCCCACTCAGCCTCCTCTAACAGGGTGAGATAAGCTCTGTTTGAATCACTCTGTCCTACAGCCAGTGAATTCTCTGCCTGAACTGGCCAGGGGAGCCCCCTGAAGAACAATCCTTTGTCCTTTCAGCTACTTTCCCAGCTCTAGTTCCTGGGTAATGTATTAAGATCAGAACTTGGGCAGTAGGAGGGGGGCGAGAAATCATCCCATGAATGCCCGGCCGGGCGTGGCTCAGCAGTCGACCTGGGATCCAGGTGATCGGGGTTCGATTCCCGGTCAGGGCATATGCCCGGGTTGTGGGCTCGATCAATGACTCTCTCATCATTGATGTTTCTCTCTCTCTCTCCCCCTCTCCTTTCCTCTCTCTGAAATCAATAAAGATATGTTTTAAAAAAAGAAAAGAAATCATCCCATGAATACTGGTGGCATCACTGCCAGGCCATTTTAATGGCAGGCCTAAGAAAAATAGATATTCAAATTGATATTTCCAGTTGAATTCTAACAAATTAGGAATACTTTTATTCCTAACAAATATCTTTAAATTTATTTCCTTTAGAATAGAGCTTGTTAGATGGGCCAGGTACAGAAATCCTAGCACAGAAACTCAGTACAGAGACTCACCAGGGCAGGAAGCTCCGGATGCCTAGCAAGGGATGAAACTGGGAAAACAAGAACCTCGTCCCCAGGGTAATCTACCCTCCCCCAGCATGTCCCTGGCCAGGTGCTTTAGACCCCCTGAGCGTTCCTCCCTAAAGATAACATCTAGGCCTCAGCTGTATTTCAGCTCCAGGCCCAGATAAGCAGGGAACCCAGACAAGGGGCTGCTGTGGCTGCCTCAGGACCAGACACATGGACTAATGACCCCCTGCCCCGGCACCAACTGATCAGTGGAGACCACACCCTGAAAGAGCACCCCTGGAAAGCTGGTGAATATTCTATTGAGACTCTCCCCTGAGACCTCCCCTAAGATTTCCAGCTGCAAGAAAGAGACAAATTTGCTCAGGACAAAGGACCNCTCACCTGCAAGAAAGAGACAAACAGGCTCAGGATAAAGGACCCAGTGCCCGCTCCCCACCACGGGAGCAGCCAGCACCATCTCCTTCCCCCTCTTTCTTGCTGGGGTCCCCAAGAGACTTGCAACCAGGGGAGCAATGGGCAGTGGCAGCTCATCCCGGGCTTACCCCCTAAACTTGTCTCCAAGGCCCCCTTGTCTCTCTCGGACTCCTCAGTGAACCAGGGCAGCCCAGCCTCGGTTCTCCTGTAGCGTCTTCTACGCCCTTCCTTGGGTCACTGCCCCAAGTATGTTTTTGCTGCCATCAGGGACCCAATACCCTTTGGCTCGGTGCTGTGTAGCCCTTCCCTTTGATCTCTCCACCCCCTTTTAATAAATTTAATTTTTCTTTATTCGCCATCTGAGATGGCTGTTCAGCCTGCCTGCGCACCACCAACCTGAACCTTTCAGAGCTACGTACATTTTTTATTTTTCTTACATTTTTAAGTCTTTCACACACTGTGTTTTCCTTGGTAATCCTCGCATGCCACTGTGATTTACTGACAACTGCAGCCCCGTCTTCTCACTGCCCACAGCTCACAGGCGCCCCCTCTCGTGCCGGGGCTCAGCATCTCGGGGTTCTCTTGCTTCGTGATGATGCCGACACTGTCCCTCCCTGGAGCCTCTGCACCTGCATTCAGCCGGGTGGCAGGACACCTGGACTCCAGGCCAATCTTCCCACCCAGCATGGGTGACCTCGGTCATGACATTCAGCCGAC